AATACCCAAAGATGTTGACCCTCAGCGGTCTGTGCCATTGAAAAGGAAGCAGCAAGGGAAGTCACAAGGGTGTATGTAATGTATATAGATCCCAGGGAGGGCCATCTGGCTCAAGAAGCCCTCCAGTCAGCGATATTACAATCAGTTGCTAACCCCCTGGTGACCACAACTGTCACGGCTGGTAATGGACTCGGCGGCTGCCCCACAGACGGCGTAGGAGGCGACCAATAGCAGGACTCCTAGTGGGTCAAGATGGGACCAATCAGATGGAGAAGCGCAACTATCGCAGTTCTCGTACTGCGATACACTGCGGTAACTGCGAGAAATTCCTTAACAGGTAATGGCAGAAGGACAGGCAGACTGACGGTTTTGTAAATATGTATATAGAATTACCAATTTTCAAAACCACTACGAGGACTCTCCAGTCAGCAATAGAAACAGTTGTTAATCAACAATTGGTAACCGCAGTGAATCACACACCATACTGTGTGAGGACCTCCGTCCCTTGAGTTCTACAACCTGAACACTACCTTCGAACCCATCTCAAGAGGTTTTGGAATCGTCACAACATCGATGTGTAGGACAGGACGTTCGAAGCATCGGGAGAATTTGGGACCATCACCACGCTCAACCACAATGACATCGGCAAAGCTATTCATTTGGAAGGGAACATGCTAGCCATCTTCCGATTTTTTGGGTGAAAGGTCGATACTTATGACGGTCTTTTCTAATGGATTATGTCTAGTTCCCTCAGCAGTTCGAGTACTTATCCGCCCACTGGGCCAGTTAGACCAAGAGTATAGCGACACAGACGTCGCAATAATCAAGCAGCACAGGATATGGGACCTACGTGCCATTTGAATCATGACTTGACCAAAACAGACAACAATCAACAGCTCGAACTCGTGAATGTTGAATCACTACAGAAGTCCTTCCGGTACTTGATGAAAGGTAACATCGCTCGGCAGGCCGAGTACTTTCAGAACCTGATGACTGCAAAACGTAGCGACATGTTGTCCCCATCACCCATTTTTCTTTTCAACACATCTGTCTCCTGTTTGAAAGATCGAGCCTTTGGATAGTACTACTGCATTCTATGTCATGGACACAGCAGCCGACTTCGAAATTACAGACTTCTCAATACTATTCAAACAGCATTACGACCTCGTGACAGGACACAGAGCTGGCATCAAAGACCAATAAACGAAATGAAGTCATAGAGAAGCCTTCTCCAGCAAAGAAGCATGAGATTTGTCCTGCCACATGTACGAAGGTGGACTTTCTCTGACTTGCCTGCTTTCGAAAGGGAGTATCTATCTGTCCGATTGCTGTATTGCTAAAATTTCTATCGCTACTTGTTCTTGCATTACTCGTGTAGAATTTCATTTCTAGTGATGCTTCTAAAGAGCAGGTCGTTGATAGACCTGTCAATGATCTAAGAAGTGATTGATGCTATGGGCACTTTAACAGAATATAATCTATAGATATGAGTCTTAGAGCCCTATGGACTTGAACCTAACACCCGAGCACAGGAGGAAGGTGCAGTCATTCCGTGGATGTTTCAAAATATGGAGTAACGAGCTTACCTTCTTTTCACTCTGCAGCATGAAAGTGCACCCTTCTTGGATATCTATGGTGGCGCCGATATCTGACGACGTTAACCACGCTTTACGTGGGGAATCACAGCAGCATGTGCGCCGTTCATCCGGATAGAGCTATATAGTGTAGCCGCAAGCCATCCTCGTGCCAACCTAAACCGTGGCACTCACGTCAAGCACCTCCTCCCCCTCCCCCCCGGCGCCGAGCGAAGCTGCTCTGAACTCTGGGAGGGAAGAAGCTATCTCGTGAGGATATCGAAAGAGGATATGATCACATATCATGGTTAAGAGTTATCTCCTGCCAAGAGAATCCATGAGAAGTATCACATGATGGTGGGCCAACCTCCCATCCCCCACAACTGCAAGGCTGCAAGCCAGACGATGCATGTTAATGTTATCAACTTAGCGCCTGCAATATCCGTTCGTTAATGATGTCTGGCAGTATGATTACCCCTATTGGTTGCATTCGCTGTCGAGAGGGATAATATGGCCTACATATACGGTAAGATTCTCCCAGATCTACCTCACTCTTTTCTCATTTTTTTTTGCCTCGGCGCTTGTCGCTGATACGTTGTTCAGAAAGGAATGGCGGAAAAAGGACACTGTCTCACAGCATGACGCGTATTACAGTATTCGACAAACTCAGCATCAACATCAACCCCAAAGATGTCCAAGAGCTGGTCATGCTATGTCTGACCGTCTTGGCATTGGTTATCGCGTTCTCCCAAGTTCTGCTCCAGTACATCGGCGGAACAGCCGGCCGTGCCAAATCAACATTCCATGCGATCGGGCCCTTTGCAAAACACATTAAGAAACACCCAAGCCTCAGAATATGGAAACTGACGATCAGATATCCAGTGTTGGATATGACAACTTCACAGGTGACGAAGGCTTTGTCGATTCAAAAGTCAAATTTCCCTTTCTACTTCCTCGGTCTCTATGACAAATATCTTAAAGGCATGCGGGTCGAAATTTGGACGAAGACGAACTGAAGATATCGTTTCTCTCAGTTTCGTAAGTACTTTATAATAGAGCTAGGAACGGAAACTTATTAAGATCTTGGACATCGCCATACGATTTCTCATTTTGGGAACTCACATGTTTAGTGAGGACCCTTGCGTCATTTCAGCAAACGCACATTCCATCAAAGCCGTCGTTCAGGCTATTATTGAGTCTTGGGATCCTAGGATCCTCTTCAAAGACGAACCTCCTGCATTTTGGGGCTTCCGCTACAGAGAGCGCCAGAATTCAATGGCATCAAGCTCATATAGCTCATATGCTCAGGAACTACCAAACCATGCGCCATGTGAGAACCTATTCGCTTTTCTGAAGTCACCAAACCATGCTTTTAAAACGCAACCCGAACTCACAGGCCAAGTTCCGTCAAACTTGTCGGAGCCAGGGAATAATTCCCAATATCGGTCTGATCAGTCAATATATGAATGTTCTCTTGGGTTAATTGACAAGCCCAGGCGCTGTCACAAGAGCAATGACCTATCATTGGAGGAAGTGGCAGGCTAATGGAAAGGATGGAATCTCTTGGAGAGTTTGTCAAAACAAGACTTATTCTCCGAAATCGACCCCATACTCAGGGAGGAGAGGATTGTGAAACTGAGCCTCTTGTTGACTTGGCGAGCGGTCTTTGTGATTGCCTTGTTCATGTTGATGCCGGATTCGACAGATGTGTATCTCTCATCTTCATCTCCCGTGAAGATGCCAATGATTCGAGGAGAGACTATTAAGAATTTTCGACTTATATGTGGCGTTGATAATGTATCATAAGCTTGGCAGGGATAATCAATATCATATGTTCATCTTGCATTGACCCCTGAGCCCTTCGTTTACTTACACTGAGGAAGGACACACCGTTGCGAGGGCAACGCTATATGGATCTCTCACGTTAGCATGACAAAAAGCTATAGCATATAGTTCGGTACTCGGGATCTTCAAACGACACGTCCTGATTCTTTTTAGTGCTGCTGATGCCGCTCTTATTATTCTCTCTGATATGATAGGCGAAAGTTGCATTATATACCGGCTCATCTCAATCTATCATTTACGGTGCACGCTGTTCCCTTTCGTAGGTGTGGAAACTTTAGATATTTGATATTTGAGACTTACTGAACTGTTTAGCAAATACGCGATAACGATCGATGGTTTGAGCTGGAACATCTCTTCAAGTTTCGAAAGTAGATCCACAGAAATATTCCATATATAACGGATTCACCAAGGAAATTCTCCCTGTACACTGTTGTTGGAAAAACTCAACCTTCATCTCGCACCTTCTCAGAGACAATATGGGCGTTCGATTGTGGCCACCCCAGAGCTTTTGTATATCTTAAAAAACAAAGAAAAATGAAGAGTTCCACGTTCCCGCAATGGCTGCTTTCGAGTTTCTGGACCCCTAGCAGTCCCAAGACGCGCGCGAAGCGTATCGTCATGCTCCTAAATTTCCTCTAAGCCGTGTTCGCGCGCTAACCACATCGGACGCTGTCGTTCACGCAAGGGTTCGTGTTAGGAAATCATCAAGGATTCTTAGAGCTTCCGGAAATGGAAGGCATGGGCCGCCTTTTCAAAGAGCCGATTACTAAGTGATTTGAACGAGAAGGAATATGAAGAGAGCAACTCGGGAGGACGGAAAACGAAATATCTTGTTCAGTAACCTACTATTCCTGTTTGTGCGCGAGTTTACCTTTAGTTAGAACGCGCGGTATCCGCAGCTCAAACGGGTGATGTTCTGGTATCAGGGCTGCGGAACGGATCGCCGCCCCGCAGCGGTCGGGGGTTGAGGTCCGGTTTATCAAGAAGCTGTTTGCAAAGAAAGTGGTCGATTTTGTGTACAAGAGCACAACTAGTTTGCTCAAGCGAAAGAATATGACGCAGTTTTAGAGGGCTTCTATGTAGTACTCAGGCCAGCGTAGCGAGTTGATGGGTGAGAGAGTTAAAAGGTATCGGGCTAGATGTTTCTTCGATGAACCCCTGGAGAAATACGATGTAGTTGGCTGTGATTGGATACAACGCTGCCCATCGAACTGGGCTAGACTTCCGGGATGCCTATCCGGAGCACTATCCTGCGCGGGATTGTACTTTAGTGCGCACGGATGCAACACGCCATAGGTGCGGGTAGTACCGAAACTCTCAGTCCATAGTAGCGGAAAATAACCGATAGAGTTAGCGCGCGGTTCCTGGATGTCGGGATCGATCCACGGCAACTATTAACTGCAAGTGCAGTCATTAGTCACAACCATTACAAGGGATCAAAGTATATAAAGGCGCCATCACCCATTGTTTCCATGGAAATTTCCCGCCGTAGTTTGGAGTTTGGTTCACCGAAGTTGGCAAACTTTGTTTCCTAGCTTGTCTCCGTCGAACACGTCGTAAACAATACATTCAGGAATTGACATGGCATCCCACAACCGTTTTCTCGGCCGCTTGCTCTGGCTTCTTGCTCTTGTCGGCTTTGCCCTCGCTCAACCTCCTCATCCTCGTATGAAGACGCCTAACCCTCCCGGCTTGAAGTTCCTTTATTCCATGAACTGCACCTTGGCGACGCCGATCCAAGTGGGCGCCGGCCCTTATGGCACACGCACGGTGATTCCTATCGTGGGAGGAACCTTCTCCGGTCCGCAGCTGAATGGTATGCTTACCCCATCTTTCAAGGGCTTTTTAACACCTGCTGACTGTATGCTGTAGGCACGGTTCTAAACCTCGGTGCCGACTGGGGTCTCATCGATTCTCAAGGTGTCTTCTCAGCCGATACTCGGTACCAGTTGCAGACGAACGACGGCGCGAACATCTTTATTCGCACCAGCGGCCCTGCCCAGTCGGACGGCACTATTCACCTCCGTATGCAGTTCGAGACTGGCAGCTCTCAGTACTGGTGGCTGAACAATATCATCGCGGTCGGCATCTTGAAGGCTGGTAATGGTTATGTGGCGATTGATGCTTGGCAGCTGGAGAGCCCGAAGCCTGGAAACTAGATCCACAGTTGAATTGGACCTCACAAGGTACTGTTGGGTCATACTATAACAGCTATGGAACATTCTGAAAGGCAACCAAGATGTTAACTAGGATCTCATATCTCATAATGGGGAAATAACGGTTCCATCTGGTATCGCCGTCGATTCTTCATCTTCTGAGTAATTTGATTTCCTTTGGTCGACTGGTAGAGAACCCTGCCCAAGGACGAGAAAAAACAAAAAAAGCCGCCTAGGTAATTCATTGGACCTTTTCCACACCGAAGCCAAGAGGATTCGGTGAGAAAACGGTCCCGCCATATGGAACTAACTTTTTGTAGAGATCAGCGAAAGCCGCTATGAGGGAGTGGAGATCTAGGCTTAGATAAGCGGACAGTGTACCGTGAAGTCACGTGACAGCACCATAAACACCGCTGCAAATGACGCCGCTGCGAAGATCCGCGATTCTGCCGGACCTTCGCCGAAAAATCTCCAGTGCCCGCCAACCGAGGTGAAGCCGCAGCACGCAGCGACGCGTCGAATGACGCGCGTCCAATTGCATCGAGTCTGATTGCTCTGACCATGTCATCGTCCAGTTATCCTCCACCGCCAGTGGCGCCAGGGACCGACGCGACCGCAACTGACGCCGACACCGCGCAACAGGGCACCGACTCGCATCACAACCAACACCACAATCATAATCACAACGTTGCTCACTCTTATCAAACGACACATGCTGGCCCGGCGCACGCCCATACACAGTATATCGCCGACGCTGCTGCCGCGGCGGCGGCTGCTGCTGCTCACCATGGCTTGCAGGCCCTCCAGGCGGCCGTCGCTGGCCCTAATCCCGCCGCAACAAGTCCCATGACGTCGCAGCATGCTGGCTCTATTTCTGACCCGTCACTCGACGGGAATGCATCCGTTCCCGGAGCGGCGATGGCGTCGCAGCCGCAAAAACCGAAGTTAACCCGTCTTCGCCGGGCCTGTGATATGTGCAGTCAGCGCAAAGTGAAGGTGAGCATGTCACGTCCTCCCGAGGTTTTTGCTACGTTACAGAGCCTCTAACGCTTTATGCAGTGTGACGAGTCGCATCCTTGTCGGGGATGCACTGACCTCGGGGTCGACTGCACGTTCAATCGCCAGATGAAGCGGCGCGGCCCGCCAAACAAGCATGCAGAAGCTGCAAAGGCGGCAAAGCAGGCTCGGCTCGAGCCAAACATCAGCCCAAGTCCGCACAATGCGGCCGAGACGTTGATTTCAATCGCTGGTGGTCAAGATGCCCAGCAAGCCATGGACGCTGAAGCGATCGCCCCTTGGCCAGTGCTCACCCTCCTCATTGACGACTTTTTCATTTACATTCATCCCCTCGCCCCTTTTCCTCATGAGCCGACCTTCCGAATGTCATTTACTGCGCGCGAGGACCGCACGAACAAAGGGTTCCTCGCGCTCCTAGCCAGCATGATCGGAGCCTTAGTCGCATCGTTCCCTAGGACGGCACGGCTGCATCTGAAGGCTCATCCTCACGGCATGCACATGTACCCTAAGGCGATCACACTCATCGAGAAATGCCGCGCGATCGCTCTGCAGGCCAGAGGGCCTTCATTTTACAGCAGGGAAGACATCAGTGTCTATGACGCTGCAACCAGCTACTTCCTGGGGCTAGCTGCAGCTTACACAATGCAACTCAAGGTGTGCCGGCGGTTCATGTCTGAAGCAATGACCTTCATTCGAGAACTAGGTTATCACAAACCTCGGGATATGGGGTCGTCGATGTTTGGTGTCACATACCGTGGGCCCCCATTTAATCATGTCGAAGACCAGCTCGGCAAGCGTATCTTTTGGACCATGTTCCTCGGCATTCGGTCGATGTACCAGCTTGGTCCCCATCACAGTGATGTTATTCTCCCTCCTCCCACACCGAGTGAACCCTACCCTGAGCTCCCGGTCGAGGTCGACGATCAGTACATCCTGACACATCAAATACTTGGTCAGCCTGAAGGCACTGTGTCATTACTTACCGGCTTCAACCAAGCCATTAAAATCTACATGACCATGAACGGCTTAGTCAGCGTTGAGCTCTCATACGGCATCTCAACCCTGCCCTTTCAAGACCAGAAGTCCATGTTGGACGAGTCCTTGCAAGCGGTCAAGCAAGTGATGGAAGGCATGCCAAGAGAGTTGACCATCGATCTGAGCCCTGGTGGCACTAGCACAGGTACCGGTCAGTCCTCACATCCAGCTGGGATGCCCGATCTTGTTCCTGGAACCGCTGGTACCGGCCCAGCGAATGTCTTTGAAGACACAACCACAACAGCCAGCTTACACACATACTTCCCTACCCCTTACCCAGCAGCAACCGTTCAGGCAGCAACAGACTTCCGGCCCCCTCCCGTCGGAGCCCAACCCGAGCGCCGACGGCTTCTCCAATACGAAATCCAAAAAGGCAACATCTACGCCTCCCAAATCGCCACCCGCTCCTACTACGTTGAGCGGTACCTCACCCTTCGCGATGCCCATCGGGAACAAGCCCGCGCGCAAGCCCAAGCCGCCGAAGCAGTCAACTTCGCAGCAGCAGCTCAATCCAACACCGACTCAACATCCTCAGCAGCCGGCACTAACCCCGGCAAAGCACCCGCCCCAAACCCCGAAGACGACCCCATTGACGCCGCCATGCTCGCCGAGCGCGAGCTAATCGCAAACCACCTCCTCATCGTCCTCTCCTCCCTTTCCCAGCGCAGCATGGAACCCAACGGCGCCTCGCTCATCACCAAGATCCGCCAGGTCGCCTCAACCCTCATCAACACCGCTACCGACGCGACGGGCCACAAGCCCGCCGGCTTGAACCCGACAGCCGCCCTCGCTAACTTGGCGATTAACCCCGCCCTGGGGCTAGCCGTTGGCCTAGGGGCGAATACGGCATCTTCAGCGAACCCCAAGACTCAGGAGATGCTCTCCAAGTTTGTCGAGGTCCTTACTAGGCTGGAACGGATCCCATCCGCGACGACGTCAACATCGCTGGCGGGGATAGGTGCACTCGGGGCGCTGAACCTGGGCGGTACTGCGGCCGGAGGGATTGTCGGTGGTGTTGGAGGGGTCGGGGACGGCACAGGGCATAGCTCGGGGGTTGTGGGTGAGGATGAGGAGCGAGAGTTGCGCGTTTGGGCTGACCTGAGGGATCCGAGTCGGGTGCCGCACGTTCCGCCGGGGGTTGCGGTTGGGGCGGTTGGGGGGCTGGGGTTTTTGCAGGGGGGTGGATGGTTGGGTTGGGTGTAGGTTGCGGATGGACTTGATGGGGTATGGGCGTTGTGGTTTGGTACGGCGTTTCTTGGGTGTCGGCTGGAGTTGGCTAAGGGTTTGCGAAAATGTGTGCCTATCAGTTCGCGTTATGATTAAGCCAGAAAAGGGTGCTTGATATTGGACGATTTGCCAAGGATTTGTATCATGATCAAACTGGTATAGATGCCATAGACTTCAGTCAGCATCTCTTTTGCGGTGCTGGGCTGGACTTAAGGATGCTTTGTATGATGATAAAAAGCGGGTCGGCAGAGTCATCGCACAGAGCCGAATGTGTCATTCTAATGCATCCCATGTACCGGTCCTGGGTGTTTCTTCTTATTAACTCAATCAACACAGCTGGACCCCGACTAAACAGGTTAGAAACAGAACAAACAAGATCTCCTGACACTCAACTTCCCAGTCAGCGTTTCCACTTTCAAGCCCAAGCTAACCCTCCGAAAGGCAAGTGAAGCCAGGGTCCCTTCATGTCAGGCCAAGCCAAGGGTGCAAGCAAGGCAAGTGTTTGAAGTGCAGGTTTGCTGGAGATTGCAGGCCTTGTCAAGACATAGAACTGAATTAAATTGAATTCTATTTCTCGACCGGCTCCACCCCTGAGTGTCCTAGGTCGTGCTCACGGCGACGGCGAGCAAAAGCTACATTACTGGACAATGTACATATTGCACAGGGGAAAAAATCCTGTTTCGACTGTATCGAGGGAAAACCTCGTGCTAGCAAAGGGGAAGGAGGAGTGACGGTTGTGCCAAGGTCGGGACGGGGCTACTCCTGTGCGGCTTGGGAAATCTTGATCATTTCCTCAGACACTGACTCAGAGGAGTCGTTTTCAAGCTCACTATCTCTGTAGGGTCGGACGGGGGAGCTCAGAGTCGGTATGGGTTACCCTATGACGTCGTCAAAGATTAGCCCAGGAGCTCAATCTGGCAGGCCCTGGATCTGAATAGTTGGAAGGAAGACCAGAAGGCTTTCGGGACCAGCAGCGGTAGGGGGTCAGGAGAGCCTGACCTGTGGGGATGGTTGGCCGGTAACATCTCAACACGACATCTCCACCGAGCTCGCTCTCTGTCCAACAGGTACTCCGGGTACGGGCTGGCTAGCCACCATAGCCACGGGGTTGGAGTTGTCCTCCGCACCGGGAGTATAACTCTGAGCGCTGCATTTGCGATTTTGGTGAGAGATGAGCAAACTGATGTGAGTCTGGATGGAACTATGCGGCCTCTGATGCCGGCTCTAGTTGAGCCTATATCGAGGTGAGCCATGCCGTACAAGAGAGAGGAGGGCAATAACAGCGTTAGGGATGTTAGAACCCGCCGCCAAGGGAAACCTCTGGACCTTCGTGTTGGACAGTGTTGGACAGATGCTTCATCAAGCCCACCACTGAGACTGTCGCTGATGCTCTAGCAGCAGCTTGGGTTGCAGGGCTGAGCTTAGGGTCTAGCGAAACTCCTAGCCACTTGATGGTCTTATTGAGGAAGACGCTCCTTCAACTTGCACCGAGATCCTCGCGGGATCGATCTTGTTTCGTTTCGCGCCAGCCCCACGAGGAGGGATATAGAGAACCTCTGTCTTTATTGTATTAGCCCTCAAGCTAAGGCCCCGAGCCTTGGTGCAGAGTTGAGCCACATTGCATGAGGCGTGGAGCATCAGCTGTGCTGGGTTTTCACACCGAGACAGTTGTGCGTGATCATCCATGTGCATGAACAAGGACCCCTGTTGGGACAGAGTTATGATCGGAAGGAAGTACAGAACGAGTTGACTGAACAGCAAATGATTTTCTTGTCAAGACATCGCCTCTTCTGTTCACTGCTAGGCCCCCCCTTTACCGGCAAAAGCCAAGATTGGATAGCCTTAGTATTCTTGTACTACCGGAGCATGTATCCGTTTTATTTTGGTCAGCTCCCGGTCCATGCAGAGAAGTGATTCCCTACTCTACCAATAATGATTCTTCCTGCTTCGACACGCCCTTTGACGATGAAAATCCGCTATTTCTTGGCACATTTTGATGCACCTGATAGATAGGTAAATTAGCTTTTTGCAAGTATCCCACTTTTCTAATTAGAGGGGTAGTAAACTAGAAGTGAAGCGGTCTTACAGACTCACGTATGCTGAGTTAAGGAAATGCGCATGGCTCGCTGACCTGCTGACTGATTCCACTGTGGATAGGTTTTGCAAAAGGATGGGCTATATGTTGTTCAGCCGTTGGCATGCCCCTTTTTCTGCTAAGACAGAGACCAACAAGTTACTTGCATGATGACCTGTGCTGAATGGATCAATTTCTGGGTTGTCGGTCACTAGTGACTTGTAGAAGTTTTGCGGAGGTAGTTTGAAGGCGATATGTGGTTTACATCGGCCAATCAACATGTGTCAAGCACTGACTGCAGAACATGTCGCGGGCATCCCCAACCCATGTTTCGCTCTACTATAACAATATTTTCAACGCTTACCACGTGCATGTCAGCTCTGGTGCTGCACACAATAACGTAATCCCATATCATCTAATTTAAGCGGATATTGGCCTGCCTAAGGTCGCGGCAATCTTCATCGCCCACTTGATGACCACCCATTAATTATGTTTTAATTTGTTGTATGCATACTTAGTTCAAGACCTTGCAATACTATTAAGCGAAAAAGTAGCTGGCAGATCGTGATTTTAATTAGCCACTTAACAACAACATGGAGGAGTAACTTACACAGCTTGCGATTTATGATTAGATGAAGTTGAAGTCCTTCTCTTGTTCCTTTATTGCTTTTCTCCCTCTCTTGTTTGGACGGTGAAACATTCCACGAGTTAACGTTAAGATGTCTTTTCAGTGTTTTACTATCTATACTTGTTTTGCTTCTTTTGTTTATAATGGATGATATGTGTTGATTATCACGCTGCTTGGGGTCTTGAACTTAATCCCTTGAATGGTCCCATGTTGATATTTTGTTAGTACATACTATCGCTTTACATACAAACCTGTCTGGCTAGTAATGGACAAAATCTGTTGTACCAACCAATCCTCATATTTGCGCAAAACTGATCGCGTTCTTGGACTCGAATAATGAATATTTGTCTGTACCGAGTCGGATTCGTGTTTCTTCTGTGTCTGTATTGAGAGATGCATAAAGATACCGAGGTTGTATGTACTGGCCGCCCATATATATATATATATATATATCTATGTATATGTATATATGTATATATATGCATCTCGTGATCAATTGCTGTTGGAATTAAGTCTAACAAGTCGTTCTCAATTGTAATATAAACTGCCAAATACGTGTCATTTCACCATATCTTGCACTTCCATTGCTGTTCAAAGCATTACCTGTAAAGCATTTCTAACTTGGGCCATTTTTGCACCCATTTATCCCCACCACCTTCTTCCACTCCTTGAACAATCCATCCCTCACCCCTGAACGAAACCCTCTCAGCTGCCCTTCTTTTCATCCACCACGTCTACACCCAAAACCAAGCCCAACCCGTTCCGATCAAACACCTCACACTCCAACATGACTACCGTTGATTTGTCTCCATCCTCAGAACTCTGCGCATCACCAGCCCTCCATCTCAACGTCGTCTTCCCTAAACTGTACTCCAGGTTCCCGTCGTTGAATCGCACTCCCACACCTTGGTCCTCTCGATCACCATCGTAATCTGTCACCTGGAGACCCAGTTCCATTGTAAGTTCCGAGGAGATGAGATTGACAGGTAGGGATGGTGCAATGCGCGCTGTGAGACTGCTTGGGGGCTGGTCAGCATCGGTGGTGGTGTTTGGTTTGAGGATGAAGCCCGTCGTAGCCTTAAGGTTGTCAAGGTCGAGCTGGTGAATTGACACCGTTGGAGTGGAATCGGTATGGGGTTGTGCCGGCTGTTGTGTGAGATCTGATTTAAGAGGAGATTCAACTGGTTGAGTTGTTGGGTTGGAATCAACTGGTGCTAATTGAGTAGTGGGACCAGGATAGTTCGGCTGGTGCTGACGCGAAGGACTATCTCTTCTCACAGGGTCATGAGAGGGGGCCTTTGGAGAGTGATCACGGCGATCCTCAAGGGGGGGCGAGGTTCGATGTCGTGATCTCGAGTGAGATCGAGATGGGGTTCGAGAAGGAGCCCGCGAAGGGGCACGAGAAACGGCCTTTGAGGGTTGGTTGCCGTTGTCGTCCTCAGTCTGTGAAATTGATGGTCAGAAAAGTCATCGCATAGAATTCGGGAAACAACGAAGCGTAACTGACATTGTTCCTACGACCGTGGGGTGAAGCTCGTCGCGATCTCGGTAGATGGCTATCGCGTTTTTTTTGCGTCGCTTTCTCAACATGCCGGGCTTCAGATACCTTTCGACGAGAGTTACCCGCAGGTGGCTGTTTGGAACCTTGTTGAGATCGCGATTGTTTAGCTTCTGGCACTGCTGGGATTACTCCTCGCTTTGCCATGCTTTTGGAGAGTTCGATTACGGAGTCGTTGACAAACAGTCCTGGTTGCGGTGACTGATAGTAAGCCTGGCTTTCTAACAAGCGGTCAATGAGTTGCCTTTGATTGCGTCTACCATGTGCTCAATAGTTAGCAATCGAAGTTACAGGATCGCTTTATCGCTGTCCAAAAAGAAAAAAGAGAAAAAACGTACATCATGCTTTTCAACCTCTTATTCTCCGCTTCCAAGTCATCAATGGTCCGCGTATCCTGAGAGGTTTTCTTCGCTCTCTCGAGCTCATTCTTGATGTGAGCTAGCTGGTTGCAGAGTTTTTCAAATGATGTAGTGGCTAATATAAGATTGAGAATATTTGAAAACGACGACATCTCCCGATCCACATCATCGATTCGATGTTTTCTCATCGACCAGATGATGGCTGCTGGGATCGGCGATTTTTGCCGTAGTTTCTCTACCACTTGAGACGCCTCAGAGATCTTCTCTTTGATGAAGCTCGCATTGCGGTTGAGGACTTTGAATGTTTTGCTTGCTGTCAAGTATTGCAGGACTTTCGAATCTGGATGATCGTGTTCATAAGATTCCAGTTGGCGGAGTATGCTCTCAACCGTTGAACCGAAGAGATCAAATTTGTTCGCCAAGTATCCCGCAAGCCGTGTTCGTTCGCGGAAGTCTGAATGTAGCCTGCGTAAACTCTGCGATAACCCCCATGCTCCATGAGCAAGTTGAGAGACAGCAGCCACGGTGCTAACAATGCCCAAAGCTTCAGCCATCCTGACAGCGATCCATGTTCAAGCACTTAGTGTTTTACGGATAGCTCAGAGTCGGTGGCGACTCGGCGAAGCTCTGACAACAAGGGCCGAGGTAAAGCGTAGAAATGTCGCGGAATATACCCAGCTTCAAACTCTTTGGGAGAGGAAACGTCGGTGATTTAAGTGAAACAGATGCGAGTTCACGCGGGCTTTGGTTCAACATCTGAGCGTCTTCATTCTGCAAGCTTCTGCAGGCCAGGTTGATCGGTGGTTGGGCCAATCACAGAGACGACGCAAAGATTGGGCGCAACACTTTGGACAACCTTTGGACCCTCGGCTCCAGTTGTCCATTCCAGACGTTTGACCGCTGGCAGGGTATCCACCAAATGTGCAGAACTTCTTCAGAGTTCGAATGAACCTCGAACGTGTGCAAGAGAACCATGCAAGACACCTTGGTAGTATCGATCGATAATCTGTGAACCCCCGAAGGAGCCTCATCTGTGCAGTTATATCACCAGCAATATACTACTTGCAATGTCATTACATTTCTAGATCGCGATCTTTAGGATATCCAACCTTTGGGCCACGGAAGTTTATTTGGGTAATTCTGCTGGAGGATTCAAGAATGCAAAAATGTCAGTTCCATGTCTAGAAAATAGTTGTGTTTTCGGGAGACTCCTGCCCAGAGAGGAATGATGTGTGATTGATGCCCAGCAATGTAATATTGCCTATGCACTTGGCATCTCGGTGTTGGATTAGATGGATCATTCGGAAAAGGTGTCGTCAGCAGGCTGCAGCAGTTTAACTTGTTGAAGCTGGCATCCAAAGGTGCCACGCAGTCAGCGGTGCCCCATATGGACCCACATACTCCAACCTGATTAAACCCTTGGCTGATGCATGCTGATAAGCGCCAACAGCCCTGTCAAACCAGCGGGGCGGCCCGTCCTCGTGGCGTGACGTCATTTGAGAACAAAATGTGGGGGTAAAAGTGGGCATAATTTGCCCACAATTGATAGATTATTTGCCCATCAACTCTCACACAAAACGGCATGGGGTAAGAGTCTGAAATCAAGCGCAATATACCCTTTTTCCACAACATATTCTGGACCTAACTGCTCCTCTTTTTCTCGATAATCTATTGGGACTCCCCAGAATTTTGTAACTCGTGATGGAGCCAACTATCGAACGCCGATAGGAAACTTGGCTGTCAATCGACGATCGAGGAAGTGACTGTGAGGAGCTGATAGATACCGCTCAACAGTTTGAATCACCAGCGGAATGTCTATCCAATCCATTCAGAAATAGCATATCAGTGGCATTCATTGATCCAAGGTTCGAAGGGCATTCATGCCCTCACACATGACGGGAACAACGAGGTCCTCCAAAGAGGGCTTTCCGCTGCAGAGAGGTTAATGCGTGTCACTGTTGGATTATTAAAGTGCCGGAAGTATATAGTAAAATCAATAATGTAGGCTCGGTCACGGAGTGTATAATATCCTATCTTTTTCCTTGTAACAAAAGCCAGCCCACACTAGAATAACACCGTGAATACCAACGGGCGGTTCCTGTACCCATGACGTGCATTGGTCATGTAACTGACAGATTGTCTTGAGATGGTTCAATTCGTTCTCTAGAAAAATTGGGCACGAATGTCACTTCGCAGCCATGTGGCATGAGGATCCTGACATAACCAAGTGAGCGGTGAGGTGAGAATGCTGTTCCTGAATGTTTTGAAATCACCAAGCCTGCTGGTTTATTCGATTTCAGCTAACCTTCTCTTCAATCATTATCCAGAACTGCCATTGAGAATGAACTTCATATCAGCATGCTTCAGACTTGTTGTCTGGACAGTTTATAAAGGCCTGAACCTAGGGAAGCAGGCCACATTTCTCCCAACTTCTGTTGCCCACGATTATTATTCGACTATGAGTGTAGAAATCATTGTGTTGGGCTGCACGAAATGAATGCGGGATATCTATCCCGCTCCGTCCTCCTAACAGTCCAATCAAAGAGCATAACGACATAATGCATACAGCTGGCTTTGCAACCTTCCATGGAGTTAGATCAAAGTTGACCCAGTTGTTGACTAGCGACCCACATTGCAGTCATCTTGGCTTTTGAGGAACCAGGAGCAAGTGGAGCCAACAAGTATGGGGGTCGGACAATCGTGACGTCATGTCTGCGAGTAAGCAGAAGATTGCCGGGTTCTCGTCGATGTTTGCTTTCAGTGTAACTCTGGTGTAACTCTGTTTTGAAGCTCTGCGACTGGGTTGACACATATGGGCAAATAGATAGAAGTTTAGAAAGGCTTCTTACCCAAAAAACATAAGTACTACAGAGAACTTGACATTTTATGTGGAGTGTTTTTTCTTCCCGCCGAACCGGTGTGTTGTAGCTAATACTGGACTGGAAGTTGCAGAATTTCAATATCTGCTCCATGATTGTCTCGGTGACTTTGGGGCCAAAGGTGAGTGATTTTAAAATGAGATTATGTCTGGACCTAAACCTCTGGGGCCAAAGGGTGAGCTGTAGTGCAAGAGCGGTATAATTAAATTCTCTGTTGCCTGCATAACTATTCTCACAAAGGGAAAAAGGTAAAAGAAATGGCTGTTAATATATACATAAGAAAGATAAACGAGTGTAAGTGATGCAGGTTCATCGCCCATGTGGGCAGGCGGCAGAACACTTGGGCGAAAGTGCAACACCAGATTTTCCTCATGTAGAGGGAGTGATTACAACAGAACTGTGCCATATCTCTTCCAAGTGCAAGTCATGAGTCCATCCTCTCAGCTGTAACTTATTCCAGTCCTCATCTAGCACCGATGGTGTCATGGTGACATGTGTTCATAGAGCCAGTGCAACTGCTGGAAGCGATCATCTAGGTATGATGCTGTACCACAGAGGTCCCAACCATTTGCATACGCTGCGTTAGGAACCCAATGGTATTGGCGCTGAATGTAGGGAGGTGGAGTTGGTGGGAGGTATGTAGGATAGGGAGTATTGCCGATCATCCAACGTTTGTGACCTTTCCTTATCTCCTCTTTTAAGTCTTTGATAAGTTGAGTCTGCTCTTGCCTATTAAAATCATTTATACAGTCAGAAGCTGTCATTCCGCTCTTACTAGTAGATTACTTACATCTTGGCCGATAAAGCAGACAGGCCTTCAAACATGGCAGCTTGAACAATGAGTTCCAGTTGTTCAACAACGGCTTGCATTTCTGCCGAAATCGCAACTAACGAGGCGGCATGATGCTTCCACACCCCTAGATCCCGCCACTTCGAGATTCTTTCGTGTCTTTTCAACATCTCGCTTTAGCCGCTTGGCCTGGGAAACGAACGGCCGGAGTAAGGATTCCTGTGTTGTGTGTTTGAAAACAGTTGAATGGGGATTCTGCTCGCTCCGAGCTCTGAGGTGCTTCACAAAGACTTCGATGCTAATGCCGGCTGAATGGAGTTGACTGGATACACGCTTAATCTGCTGCTTTGCAGAAGCACTGTACTTGATAGAGTCCCGAAGGGTGGTCCTTAGTCCATAGACCATATGGACGAGCTCCAAGGTCACCGTAATGATGCTCAGAATCGTGATGGGATCGGCCATGGTGTTGGAGGAGGACGGTAAATGCCTGTAATGAGTTCTGAGGATATAAGAGACGGTATGCAGTTGGATTGACGTGAAAATAACTCGATGCCGAACGTATGAGGTTGACGGATGGTGAACTGCAGGACGACGTCCGAATCCCTTGAGATCCTTTATGCTCGGAACTCATGAGCCGCATTCAGCGTGACATGAGCCTCATTGCATCTCAAATGTTGTCACTGGCAGTCCGGTGTCGCTCTCCTCATCCACTCCTCCTTTCACCATGCTCAAAGAGATATGAAACGATATCCATCACCCCTATGCACGTGCCCTGGAGTTGTCCATCGTAGCACACATGATGTGGCAGCGGCTTTCAGATACTGCCATTGGAGTCGACCGTAAACAATCGCGGCGTGCCTCTGGTTGGCTTGCCGTGGTTCCAGTTCAAGTATACATACAAGGCGGGAAGAAGGGAAGCTAGTGTTAACCCAACATACGCTGGAAACGTGGTATCTGCATCACCACATAGTTAAGAGTTAGCATATTTCACGCTGGCACTCGCT